AGATTCAGGGGCACGAAGAATTTTCAGTTAGACGACTTTTTTTCTTTCTGAATATTTAATAAACAAAACATGAGGGGCCTGGGCTTGAGTTGAATGTGGTGATTCAGATTTCTGGTAGTGTATCAAGTGTTTCTCATTATGCAGGTAGGCCTCAAACTGGGAGTGAGATGTTTCTTTTTCTGGGAGCATTGTATGGTTCTTTTCCAGGGAAGAGAGTATCCCACATTTGGGTAACCTTTTCCACAAAATATGTTGGCAATTCTTCACAGCATGTGATGCTGGCTTTCGGGGTAGTGGGAAGGCAAACAATTGATGAAGTAATTAACCTTCCTGAAAAGTTCTACTGGTTACTTAGCGATTTCAATAACCAATGAGATATATGATCTTTTCCTTTCTATCACGGCTGCTGAATAACAGTGTGGTGAGCCATAAATGTCTTTTGGCACAGTATGCACCCCAAGGGAGAACAGGTGCTTAGCAGGGATACAGCATGGCTGAAAGCCGAGTACCACAGCAATCCAAAAGCTCTGCTTTCCCCTTCACTTGGGAAAAGAACCATTGCCCTTGTCGCATGCCAGAGCTGTTCAGCTAAATTCATTATTCTCAAAGTATTTTGGACTTTATTTTCAGCTTACTTTATTTTCAGTACTTACATCAGGGCCATTACATAAATCTTAACAAAAGCATTGTACTTATATACCTTCAAAAAACCTATGTTAAAAGAACATTAAGATTGCAAAGTGAAGCACCCAAAAGTTAGGAAATGCTCAAATTAAGGTTGCCTGTGCAACCTTAATTCAGCCCTCTTGTGCATATGCATCATGACAGTCTAATTACATGATCATATACCATTTTTTTCTACCAAACACCTGGCCTCATTCAATACACAGAATAGGCAGTATTCCTTTGATGGGTAACTACTGAATATTCCATTTGATACTCCTCATTCAATGTGTGGTCCCGTTGCATTATTTACTGCGCCACAACCAAACTCAGCGCTTGAATACAGAATTATTAATTTCCTCATGGGCTTTTCACTGATGCTCTCATGGTAGTTTACAAACATCATTCAATATATCTTCACAACACCATTGTGAGAACAGGTGGTATTATTGTGCCCATTTTACAGATGAGAAACAGAGACTAAGGCTCAGAAAAGTCACTCATCTAATGTCGGGCAACCAGAAAATAAGGAACACACAATTCACAGCCAGCTGTGAACATTTTGGTTTAAGTGACTGGCCCAACCTCACACAGAAACTGTGTGGCAGAGGCAGAAATAGATTTCAGTTCTTCAGGGCAGCATTCAACTGCCTTAACCATGAGACCTTCCTTTCTCTCCCTGCATCCTCTGGATCATTCACTACACGCCTTCCAACTATTGCAACAAATGAGGCAGAGGTCCTACCGACAACAGCCTTCTTCACTACACAACCCTGATTTACACCCAGAGCACGTCCATCTTGTGCACTGAATGAGGCAAGGGGTCCTGTGGAAGAAACAACATGTGATCAAGTAATTAAAGATTGTATCCTCATAATGCATATACAAAAGGGGACCGAATTAAGGTTACAAAAGCACCCTTGATTATGGCCTTTTGAGTGCTTAACGATGCAACCTTAACACTCTTTTAACATAGGAAAGTACATCCCCAAACTAAGTTTTTTCAAGCTTACGAAGTTTTAAAGCTTCAAAATCGGAAAAAAAAGAACCCCACCAAATATTTAACTCTGTGGAACCACATTGTCCCCCACATGGATCATCAGCAGGGTTGGGATCTTTAAATCCACAGCACAGTCATCTAACCCTTGAGTTAATAAAGCAACTGATAGCATTAGGAAGTTGTTATCTTTTATGTAGACCTGCCACTAGAGGGGGATGGAGGAATACACATTGCCAGGACCACTGAATTATGTGCACTCCAGCCCTGGACACCGGTGACCCTTTGTGACAGAATGAGTATGTCTGTAAATAAAATAATATTTAATAGCCAAAGAGCTTGAGGGGGTGTGATTCAGGCTACATCTACACTACAGGGGGGAGTCGATTTAAGATACGCAAATTCAGCTACGTGAATAGCGTAGCTGAATTCGACGTATCACAGCCGACTTACCCCGTTGTGAGGACGGCGGCAAAATCGACTTCTGCGGCTTTTTGTCGGCGGCGCTTACTACCACCTCCCCTGGTGGAGTTAGAGCGCCGATTCGGGGATCGATTGTCGCGTCCCGACGGGACGCGATAAATCGATCCCCGAGAGGTCGATTTCTACCCGCCGATTCAGGCGGGTAGTATAGACCAGACCTCAGATTTAGCAAAACTCCATCAAACCAGGTGAAACTGCCCTACTCAATGAACAAGTGAACAAACCATTTTACTTCTGAGGCAGGCTAGTCTTTGAAATACAACCTCTGGGGTATGTTGTTAATCTTTCAAAAGGCAGCTATTAAATGTCTTTGTATCCTCAATGGGCCATCTCTTAGGCCTTGACTAGACAAACCCAGAGAGAAAGCAGCATTTCCCTTACCTTACCCCACTTCATTGTACATGAAGGCAATTCAGAAAAATTGTTTGCAGAGTGGAGGTGTTGCTCTTGATTAGGATGGGAAGCCTGGCTGGACACAAAACTGCCGCAGGGTGTGGCAAGATCTCTGACTGCATGAAAGACAGCTGAGATTCACTTTCTCTCAGAACAGGATGGGGTAGGAACTGAAGTCAGACACAGATTGCTTTTTGGAATACTTAAGGACTGTGTTTTCCCTCCGTAACTTTCAATGAGAATGTCTGGCCTGGTTTAGCTTATGCCAACTATAAATCTAGGTATGTTATGCAAGTCATTTTTTAACTCCATTTATTTTGTTTTAAAATAATCTTGTTCTTACGAAGCAATCTGCTGGTGTGTGTGGAGAAGGTTCACCCTGCACCCCTCAAGAGAGGGATTCCGAGTGGCAAAGAGGTTCTGGAACTTAAACCCCACCACTCAGATGTTGGACAATAAGACGGGGCAAAGGCCTTCACGCCCAGTGAAGCGTGTTGCAAACAGCTGTGGCAAACAAACAACTGGGCTGATGCCAACAGGACCCAGGAAGAGACAAGAGTTGGCAGTGACTATGCTGGATCTAGAGACCTATCTTGCAGGGCCTTTCATCACACACAAATACAATGGAACCTATGTATTGTGAAGTCCCCTCTCCCCCGCCCACACACACACACCAATTTCACTCTAATCAGAGAGATGTAGACACAAAATATGAAACCAGAATGTGCGGCAATTTTATTATCTCAAAATTCGACTCAAATGTTGTCTTCAAGGTAACGCTAAAAGTAATAAACTTACCAAATGCCCACTCATTGCTCCCTGAACATTTTCTGGGTTAGAGGATACTCAAGGAGAAATGTGGGACAGTCTCAGAACAAGGGGGGTTGGGTGCTGAGGAGGGGGAAGAGATTAAACCGTAACTGTTTGCTGCAGAGGTAGCACACACAGCTCAGAGGTCTCTTCTGAACAATTAACAAGGAGCAGCACCTGAGGAACAGCTGACTATACTACATTTCTCAGGTAAAACACCACCTGCCATGACTAATGCACTAGGTAACGCTATCTCAGACTGGCAACTACAGTGCTGAACTGTTCAGTGCCTCCAGGAGGCAAGGTAGCTATGCCGACATACAGCCTAGGGCATTAGCGACATCTAGAAAGTACACACCTGCCATGTTGTTTAATGCAGCAGTTACATTCAGGTAAACACACCTGCTTTGTGCTGGATGTTTCAGACACACCTGTTCGTTCTGTGTGGGTGAAACATCAACAAAAAGCAGCAGATTGGTGAACAATCAGCAAGGACACTGCAGGCTTGAAAAATTACTTCTGTCCCATCCTCCTGTTCCAGAGGGTGTTGGCTGCACTATAGGATCTTGGAGGGGTAAAGTAGGGAGAAAGAAGGTGGGAATCTTGGGTTCCATCTTTAAAAGGAGAAAATGTAACCGGGAATAAGAGCATAGGTGCTGAGTTTTTCTTCTGCCCCGAGGCCCCACCCTCATACTGCCTCTTCCTGCCCCTGCTCCACCACCTGCCCCGAGGCCCTGCCCTCACTCCGCCTCTTCCCACCCTGCTCCGTCCCCTCCCCGAGGCTCCCGCCCACTCACTGCTCCCCGCCGTCCTCCACGCCTCTCCCCCAGCACCCAGCAGCTGTTTGGTGGCACCTGATCATCTAATTGGGAGCGCTGCCCAACAGCTGATTGGGGGGTGCCATCAAACAGCTGTGGCTGGTGAGTGCTGAGCACCCACTACTTTTTTTCCATGGGTGCTCCAGCCCCGGAGCACTCATGGAGTCGGCGCCTATGAATAAGAGCGACATTCTGCCATGAGATGTACGTCTCATGTGCTACATTCATAAAAAGGAGGATAGAATTGATTTCTAGGTCTGCTGTCCATTATAAAAGAAGCATTTTAATAGCAAATTGCACCACACTTAGAAAAGCCATTTTAGTGTGTATACAATGAAAATGTGTGTGTGTTAGCATTAGAGAGAGAGAGAGAGAGAGAGAGAGAGACACTACCCAAATCTGCTAGAAGTGAGATGTAACATACTATTTTGTGTCATTTGATGTGTTCTGACCCATGCCAGTTTTGACACCATAATAAGCTGTTTTTTGCTATAAATTTATGTCTTCCCATTACCCCCTCTTCTCTCCTCTTCGCTTGACTGTTCTTGGCAAGGAAAACCTACTTCAGCTTCCAATTCTGGCCATCAGATTCACATTAAAAAAATAATTAACCAGTCGTTTTCTTTTATCCACTCACCATCCTTCTCAAACCAGCACAAGGGAAGTTTTGTAAAATCAATACACTTCCTACCAACATTAATCATAAATGTGAAGTAACAAAAAGGAGTTGTACAAAAAGTGGTCCAGCTTTATAAGGGGGGAGGGGGAGAGAAAATAGATGGGAATGATATGGAACGAGAGAGACAGAGATCCCCAGCAATACAAAACAGACTCACAGTCCATCTCGCAGCTCTTGCGTATCATTCGATGTCCCAAGAGATCGAAGGGTTCTTTCCAAGGAAGTCACTGTCAACACAAGAAAGAAAGAAAAGAGAAAGAAATGACACCACATTTCAGACAAAAGTATTTATATGTTTAAATGGGGTTTCTTTCAAACCCGTTCACTAATAACTAACCTATGGACAAATAAAAACACAGAGCACAGCAAGAGCTGAAGGTCGGACAATACTAACTCCATCAGAGGACATTAATAATGCGGAATAATCCTTTTGCATCTTGAGTGTGTATTATACGTATTTGTTATTTGTGTAGACCATAACTGTACAAAAAGATTTACAACAACTCAGATAAACTAAAGAAAATCTCTCCCCCATAGACCTTACAATTGAACAACACAAGCCCAAGAGTGCCCTTTGGTCATTTTCTGTGGTACATTTTCTAAAAAGATTCAGAGGAGGTACAGAAGAATGCTCGGTTTAAATTAATGATCTAAGGATAAGGAGTGGCATGAAAGGAGCAAAATATGTAATAGAGGAAGGAGAAGACGGAACAGTCTATTATAAATGAATTAAAAGGAAGGAGGCCATGCAAGAGGTTAAGCTGGAATAGAGTTCTGGGGCATATGGAAGGCAAGGCTAATCTAAATTTTATGTGGATAATAAAGAGCCTATCCTATCCTATCTCATAGAACCAGAAGGGACCCTGAAGGATCATTGAGTCGAGTCCAGCCCCCTGCCTTCACTAGCAGGACTAAGTACTGATTTTTGCCCCAGATCCCTAAGTAGCCCCCTCAAGGATTGAACTCACAACCCTGGGTTTAGCAGGCCAATGCTCAAACCACTGAGCTATCCCTCCCCCCAAGAGCCAATGGAGACAGTCCAGCAAAGAGATATAGTGAGAGAGTAGCAGGAAAGGAAAATGATCTTGGCAACCTTGAATGAGCTCTGCTCCACACTCCAGAAGAACAAGGTCACTGACACTATGTGCCGTGAACCCCTCAAGGTCACTGTCACTATGTCCCGTGGGGAAATTAGGCCCCCTGTCTCCCAAATATGGCAACCAGTTCAACTCCAAGCGTGTCTGACCACTGTTAAGCATCTACCCCAACTGTACAGCCTGAAAGACTGTTGGTATCCAAGTAAATGTCCTTTTCATCCTGAATTCGAGATGCAGATTTGAAATCCTAAAATAAGACACCCCACAAAGGTCACATGGGTTGCACAGTTAATTGGCGGCCACATTAAAGAGTCTTTATTCTTTTTAATAATTAAGAACAAAAAGGTAAATCTCACATTCATGGTGTCATCAGATTAGTCCAGTGGATCCCAGAGCAGCACCAAGGTAGTGTAAAAATGGAGCAGACTGCAGCCACCTCCTTCTTTAATACAGTGATATAGCCTCTGGATCCTACAGCTCCCATATGCAACTGTCCATCTTCATCGGAGCAGCTTTCCATTGTGAGAGAGAGAGAGATGACTGCTTGCTGGGATACCGAGTCTCTGCAAACCTCACACCCTTGTATTAGAGACAAGGGTGGCCACTGCTGCGTGCTGATCTCCACGGGTAACGCTTTGTCCATCCTTATACTACAGACATTCATTTTCCCCCCACTCCTAGACAGTGTGCATTAATTCTCATCAACCTGCACTTTGTTAGGACCACAGGAACTGCTATACCAGAACAGATCAAAAAATCAGTTTCTCCTTCTCCGACACTGGCCAATGCCAAATGCTTCAGAAGAAGGTGTAACCCCCCAGTAATTACCTAACCGAGGTTTTGTTTACGGTTGGCTTGCCTTAGTATGCAACTCCCGAGGGGCTAAGAAACAACATTGCTGCTTTCCACTCACCCATGCTCTTGCTCATCTCCTCCCCCGAGTCTCATTCCATCCCATTCTGTTCCAAACTAGAGGCCGGTCACAAGCTGTAAATGTGAGGAGGCATCACTCTCCACGCCAATGAATCATCCAAATGCTGAGGTTTTTATTCAGGCAAAAATCCTTCCCTCTCCCCTCCCCGTGTAATAGGTAACCATTGTGACTGAGCCCGAATCCGTTCCAGGGCTTAGCTCCCTCCCCTGTCCCATCAGTGGTTTCTTCTTGAGCTGGCGTAAGCCATAAAAAACCATCATGGCAGTTAAACTGCCACTCCACAAATATTCTGGGCTCCCCTCCCTTCCAGTGTGCACAAAGGGCCAGTATACAGAATGGAATGCAGGCCGAGGCCCTTTTGCAGACTGTGTGCTGTTCTGGTCATCCCATCTCCCACTAATCATTTTTGTTGCCCTTCTCTGTACCTTTTCCAATTCTCTATTGGAATTGTACAGAGAAGGTGGGGGGAAAAGTGATTAGGGGTATGGAACAGCTTCCATATGAGGAGAGTTTAAAAAGACTGGGACTGTTCAGCTTGGAAAAGAGGCGACCGAGGGGGGATATAATAGATATCTATAAAATTGTGAGTGGTGTGGAGACAGTGAATAAGGAAGTGTTATTTATCCCATCACATAACACAAGAACCAGGGGACACCCAATGAAATGAATAAGCAGCAGGTTTAAAACAAACAAAAGGAAGTTCTTCCTCACACAACACACAGTCAACCTGTGGAGATAATTGCCAGGAGGTGCTGTAAAGGCCAGAACTATAACTGGCTTCAAAAAAAGAATTAGATAATTTCATGAAGGATAAGTCCATCAATGGCTGTTGGCCAAAATGGTCAGGGATGCAACCCCATGCTCTGGGTGTCCCTAGACTCTGTTTGCCAGAAGCTGGGAGTGGACGATAGGGAATGGATCACTTGATTCTGTTTTGTTCATTCCCTTTGAAGCACCTGGCACTGGCCACTGTCGGAAGACAGGATACTGGGCTAGATGGACCATTGGTCTGAACCAGTATGGCTGTTCTGATGTTCTTATGTTTATGAGGGGTGCTGGAGGCACCAATGCAGGACTGGCCTGGAGCAATGGGCCTGATCTTACATGTAGCTAAGCATCCTTACTTCCCATGAGAATTGAGGGGATCCTGCACCTGGCAGGATCGGGACCTGTAAAAAGGCTTCCATCAGGCCAGAGATCACCATGCAGTGGCAAATTACAGTAGGTACAGCCCTGGAAGTTAAGAGCAGGCTGACCCCCACAATGAGCACCCTGGGCTCTAAGGCAGTTAGCAAAAACAGTTTAAACTCTCATCCAAGGCCTCATCCTCTTGCATCTTGACTGTTGCAACCTCCTCCTTCTGGCCTCAAAAAATCCCATCATGCCCCACTCATATCCATTCAAAATGCTGCAGCAAAGATCATTTTCCTGGTTCTTTGCCTCAACCATGTCAACAACAAAAAACGCATCACGTTATCGCTGAGGGGTAGGGGGTAAGGTCCTCCTTCACAAGTTAAGCCCCGCCCCACTTCATTGTGCGGTTTAGTCTCCCAAGCTGCAGCTGCTGCCAGTGAACACATCTTTTGAACTTTGCCAACCCAGAATGTTCTAGATCTTACAGGTACAGTTACCACAGTTGCAAGAGGCAACTCATGAGGCTCTTGCTGGGAAGGGGAGACACTGAATGACTTCATTATATTTTAAAAGCTGAGTTCCAGCTTCCATTCTAATCTTCCTGTTTCAGTTGTTCAGGACTTCCTCACACAAATTCCATGTTTTGTCTCAGCCGAAGGGAGTGATTTTTTTTTTAAACTTTGAGCCAAAGAGGTGCTTTCAAATTTTGCAACTGGGAAAAACAAACAAATAAAGCTACCTTTCCATATGTTCCCATTGGAATGGTTGCAGCTAGAAACTTGGCTTGTTTTGCACTCCACAACGACTTAAGATTTATGAAAATCAGTCCAGCAGATTTTTAAAGCTAACAATGAGACTCTTGTAAATCAACAACATAAATTGGCTCTTATTACTTATGTTATTTAATCTATGCCACAAAATACACAAGATACAGAAAAGTGACTAAGTTAAATCCAGAAGAAAAAATTCTCCTTTTGAATGTTTGATGTCTGAACCTCAATGTTGAATCAACAGTAGATGTATTTATTTTTCCGTCTTGCATTTAACATATCAAGTATGTAAGCACTGTAGGATCTTTCACAATGAAAGACACTAAATAAATACAGGCTATTATTATAATTTATCTCTTGGATTTTCTCAAGACATTCTCAATGGTACAAACATATATACATCACCGGTTGCTCTAGTACCTTAAGTCATGAAAAAGAACAGATAACTGGTATGGGCTCATCGCCTGACTGTGGAAATGGAAGCCAGGAAATCCTAAATGCTAATCCTTGTTCTGACATTGACTCCATCTGTGACCTTATCCAAGCCACTTAATCATTCTGTGGTTTAGTTTTGCTAACAGTAAGGCAGGAGTAATATTTACCTCTCTCATAGGACTAATTCATTCATTTTTAACATACCTTGACAGTGAAAACTGCTACATAAGCAATAAGAATTACCCATTTCAGGAACCTGGGTGGTGTGACAAACTGCATTGCCACCCTGAGATAGTGGGGTGGGGACGGTCAAAAAAAATTCCATCACAACTGGTTCTTAATGGAAAACTGGGGTTTTGACTAAAGATTTTTTTTTCCATGAGAAGTGTCTGCTTTCCATGGAAAATGTCAACTTTTCATCAAAAAGCAGAACACCCAAAAATCAAAAGGTTTTTTGGTTCATTACCAAAAAAGTTTCAATTCCAAAAAGCCACACAAGGTGCCCCAAGGGAGTTGCAGTTCCCAGGTTTTCTGACCCCCATCTTCCCAATGAGCTAGCTTCCCCAGCCAGACTACATGTCCCATGATGTGCTGTGGCCATGGAACTTTCGCTATGCACCATGGCTGCTCAGGAAGAAGGGGGACTGTTCTGCACCATGGAAAATGTAGTCCAGACAAAGCCCAGCAGCCCATAAAGGAGAATGGGAGCACAAGACACCTGAACTACAACTCCCATGAGGCACCACGGTGGCATTTCCTCTTTTTTTTTTTTTTGGTTTTTAATCAAAAGCTTTTTTTGATTTTTTTCAAGTTTTGATTTTTCACTAAAAATCAACATTTTTTACATTTTCAATTTC